CGAGGGACCAGTTGATGATATTCATTATTCTTGTTAGAGTTGTCTGCAGAAAAACTCCAGGAAAGACAAAAACAACGTTTTTACCACTTTACATGCCATCAGTCTATATCAAAGTTTCACATTTTAAGTTTTCCCTGTGAGGTAAGGTCTACTCCATGGTACTGGAGAGGAGACGGTGACCGATGGTCGAATCTCTGATTCAGGAGGAGTAGTGTGGTTTTCGCCCCGGTCGTGGAACACTGGACCAGCTCTACACTCTCCATCTAATACTTGAGGGTTCATGGGAGTTCGTCCAACCTGTCCACATGTGCTTTGTGGATTTGGAGAAGGCGTTCTACCGTGTTCCCCGGGGTGTCCTTTGAGGGGGTTCTCCGGGAGACCGGGGTTCTCTGCTGAGGGCCGTCTGGTCCCTGTATGACCGGAGCCAGAGCTGTGTTTGCATCGCTGGCAGTAAGTCAGACCTGTTCCCGGTGCATGTTGGCCTTCGCCAAGGCTGCCCTTTGTCACCGGTTCTGTTCACTGTCTTTATGGTCAGAATTTCTAGGCGCAGCCGGGGTCTGGAGGGGGTCCGGTTCGGGGACCACAGGATTTCATCTCTGCTATTTGCAGACGATGTTGTCCTGTTGGCTCCAACGAACCAGGACCTGCAACATGCACTGGGACGGTTTGCAGCCGAGTGTAAAGTGGCTGGGATGAGAATCAGCAACTCCAAATCCGAGGCCATGGTGCTCGACCGGAAAAAGCTGCCTTGCCCTCTCCAGGTGGGTGGAAAGGTCCATCCTCAAGTGGAGGGGTGCAAGTATCTGGAGGTCTTGTTCACATGTGACGGAAGGCTGGAGCATGAGATTGACAGGCGTATCGGTGCAGCGTGCGCAGTGATGCGGCCATTGTATCCGCCGTTGTTGTAAAGAGGGAGCTGAGCCGAAAAGCAAAGCTCTCGATTTACCATTCAATCTTTGTTCCCTCCCTCACCTATGGTCATGAGTTTTGGGTAATAAGCGAAAGAAGGAGATCGCTGGTACAAGCGTTCGAAGTGAGCGTCCTCCTGAGTGGCTCAGTCACACGGGAAGAGCTCGGAGTAGAACCGCTGCTTCTCCACGTCGAGAGGAACAAGTTGAGGTGGGTTGGGTCATCTGTTCCAGATGCCTCCTGGGTGAGGGCATGTCCCACCGGATGGAGACCCCGTGGAAGACCCAGGACACGCTGGTGGGACTATGTCTCTCAGCTGGCCTGGGAACGTCTTTGGGTCCCCCCGGATGAGATGAAGGAAGTGTGTTGGCGTCTCTGCTTAGACTGCTGCAGAGACGCCCAGTCTTCCCTGGGACCCGCAACGAATAAAGCGGAAGAAAATGGATGGATGGATGGATTCACTTTTCACAATATTCTAATTTGACTCTGCTCTGAAGACACTTAACAGAACTGATAAGGATGGAGCTTGTTGAGAGGTTGTGAGTTGGCCACACCTCCACACACAGCTCAGGCTCTGAACCCAGCTCCCCAAAAGATGTTTGACGCTACACTCTTTCACGTTTCTCACAGGGGTGGGCTAACTTATTGTCCCCCATCTCACCTCCACATGTTGGAGATCTCGCCCTGTGTGGGACAAGTTTGTTTGTGGAACCTATGAGCAAAACAGCAGTGCAGAGTCCTCAGCCTTCTAGAAGGGGTACTGAACAGTGCACTGACCTGTTATTCTCCTGGGGGACTTCAACGCCCATCTGGGAAATGCCAGACACTTGCAGTGGAAGAACAGCCCCCCTGATCTAAACCTGAGCGGTGTTCAGTTATTGGACTTCTGTGTTACAGTTTATCCGTCAAAGTTCCCTACGGGGATAAATAAAGTGCACATTTACATTTACATAACCAACACAACGTCAAAATTACGTAATTTGGACATCATTGCGCAACGTAGAGCATAGGTTGCTGGTGGGTGCAAAATGAACGTTTTCCCGACGTCATCTGGACGTCTTTTCCCGACGTCAGCTGGACGTCTTTTCTTTACGTCATCTGGACGTCTTCGTGACATCATCTGGACCTCAAAATGTGGTGCAGAACGGGTGGGTCTGACGTCCTATCAACGTCTTATATATGTATATGTATTTTAACATATGGCTGGTCTTAAAGTTTATATTGAAAGTTAGAAATTGTTTTCTTCAGCTAATCACTAGCTGCAGTTAGGTTACGTCAGAAATTTTCCACGTAAGAATAGAATTGTAAGCGCTAGTTAGCTTGCTACCAGCAGAAAAAAAGGAATTAATGCCTTCCACTAAACATCCGACGTCCACACAACCTACAGATCACGTCCATATCACGTCAGTCGGTCGAGGACCTTTTATTCACGTCCAAACGAAGTTTGGACGTGAATAAAAGGTCACATCCTGGTCCTGGTCCAGGATGTAAAAGGTCACATCCTGGACCTGGTCTGTTCCACACACTCCCTCACCAAACACAATCTATCACCGACCTGACCATCTCTAATCATCTGGCCATTACCCTGGACATCATTACCGTCTCTCATTCCACCAAACAGACACGAACAATTACTTTCCGAAATCTGAAGTCTATTAGTCCCATCTCTCTCTCCTCCTCCATATCCCATGCCCTATCCAGCTCTTCTTTCCTTCAGATCCATCTGCGTCTGATCTAGTCAATTTCCACAACCACACTCTCCTCCTGCCTCAACCAAATAGAACCCATGAAAAACTGCCTTAGTCTCCTTCTCCACCTCAGATCTCCACAATCTCAAAAAACAAAAGAGACAACTCGAAACGGCTCCATACAAAAACTGGTCTCACCGTTCATGTCCAAGCATACAAACATGCCACAACCACATACAACTCTGCTCTCAAAACTGCCCGGTCCAACTTCTATTTACAACTCATCCCATTCTAATTCTTCCAACCCGCGTACACTATTGTCCACTTTTGCAAACCTGAGCAAACCCAAGGACAATATAACCTCCACTTTCACTACAGACAAATGCAATAACTTCCTGTCATTCTACCATACCAAAATCCGTACCATACACTGTTCACTTGCATCCACTTCCTCCTCTTCTCCTTACTCTGAACTTGAACCCACTGCACTCACAGTCCATAGCCTTCCCTCCTTCTCCCCCCTGTCTCCCTCTGACACCACCAAACTTCTCTCAACTTTGACATTTTCCATCTGCCAGCTTGACCCAATCCCATCATCCCTCCTCAAAACCTGTCAACCAACTCTCATCACTCTCATCACCCGCATCATCAACACTTCCCTGACCTCTGGTTCTGTCCTTCCCCGCTCAAACTAGCTTCCATCACACCCCTCCTAAAAAAACCCGGGCTCAACCCTGACAACTTGGACAACTTTCGACCCATCTCCAATCTCCTGTTACTGTCAAAAATCCTGGAACGCGCTGTAATCACCCAACTCCACCAGCATCTCCACTCCTCCCATCTCTTCGAAACATTTCAATCTGGATTCCGTTCACACCAGAGCACAGTAACAGCACTTGTTAAAGTTACGAATGACCTCCTCCTCGCCGCCGTCTCTGGTTCCTTATCTATCCTCCTTTTCCTCGACCTCTCCACTGCATTTGACACAATAGACCAGCCATTCCCAAACTCAGTAACACCGAGGCCCCCTTAAAAATCTGACGGGTCTGCGTGGCCCCCCCAAAATAATAACCAAGAAGACAACATTAAGAATAGGCTCTTCTGGTTATTTTATTTTGGGGAAATAGCCTCTGCTACAAACATTGTAATACAAACATGATTACAGTGGATTATTCAAGTCAAATAATGAACACAAATATTTTAATATTATAAACAAAACATTATAAATTTAACATTAAATAATTATATTTTATTTTTATTTTTTTTATGACCTCCCGCGGCCCCCCTGCAGTACCCTCGCGGCCCACCAGGGGGCCGCGGACCCCACTTTGGGAGACACTGCAATAGACCATTCAATCCTCCTCCATCGTCTGCAATCCATTGGCATTTCTGGCAAAGTACTCCTCTGGTTCACCTCTTACCTCTCCGATTATCTCCACTTCGTCTCTGTCAACAATTGCAACTCCCACACTTCCCCCGTCACCCACGGTGTCCCCCAAGGTTCCGTGCTCGGCCCTCTCCTCTTCACCATCTACATGCTTCCCCTCGGCCAAATCATACGCCACCATGGACTCCATTTCCACTGTTATGCCGACGACACTCACCTCTACATCTCCACCAAATCCATCACCCCGGTCATTCTCTCCACAAAAACAAATTGCATGTCCACCATTAAAACATGGATGGACAATAACTTTCTCAAACTCAACAGTAACAAAACAGAACTCCTCATCATCAGCCCCAAATCTCTCCTGCCCTCTGTCCAGAACTTTACCCTCCTCATTGACGGTCACACTGTCACCCCCTCACCCTCTGTACGCAACCTCGGCATCATATTGGACTCCACCCTCTCATACCACACTGCAAAAAGTCCCTTGCTAGAAACAAGAAAAAAACCCCACAAAAGACAACAATTTTGCTTATTTTAAGCAAAAAAAATCTGCCAATGGGGTAAGACATTTTTCCTTGTCTAGAATTCTTGTTTTAAGATTTTTTTCCTAATGTATAATGGGAAAAAACAAGAATATATTTCTTGATTTAAGCAATTTTCTTCCAATAAAATGGTCAGATTTAAGCAAAATATTCTTGGTAATAAAATACAAGAATATATTTCTTTATTTCAGCAATTTTCTCCCAATAAAAAGGTCAGATATAAGCAAAATATTCTTGTTAATAAACAAAACATGAATATTTGTCTTTATTTAAGCAATTTTCTCCCAATAAAAAGGTCAGATAAAAGAAACATTTTCTTATTGGATAAGTTTAGGAAATAATCCTTTTTCTAGTAGACTGGTTTTAAGCAAAATTGGCTTAATAAGCAAAATATTATAAGCAATATATCTGTTATAATCAAAGAAGTGAACACAAATGCGAAGGACAGGTTTACAGGGTTTATTAACAGGAATGAAGGTTGAGCTGGTAGGGTGGGCCTGAACTGCAACTGGAGAAGGAGCTGGAGCAGGAGTAGGGGCTGGAGCAGGAATAGGAGCTGGAGCAGGAGCAGGAGGAGGAGCTGGATCAGGAGCAGGAGGAGGAGCTGGATCAGGAGCAGGAGGAGGAGCAGGAGGAGGAGCTGGATCAGGAGCAGGAGGAGGAGCTGGATCGGGAGCAGGAGGAGGAGCAGGAGGAGGAGCTGGATCAGGAGCAGGAGGAGGAGCTGGATCAGGAGCAGGAGGAGGAGCTGGATCAGGAGCGGGAGCAGGAGGAGGAGCAGGAGGAGGAGCTGGATCAGGAGCAGGAGGAGGAGCTGGATCAGGAGCGGGAGCAGGAAGAGGAGCAGGAGGAGGGGCTGGATCAGGAGCGGGAGCAGGAGGAGGAGCAGGAGGAGGAGCAGGAGGAGGAGCTGGATCAGGAGCGGGAGCAGGAGGAGGAGCTGGAGCAGGAGGAGGAGCTGGAGCAGGAGCGGGAGCAGGAGGAGGAGCAGGAGGAGGAGCTGGATCAGGAGCGGGAGCAGGAGGAGGAGCAGGAGGAGGAGCTGGATCAGGAGCGGGAGCAGGAGGAGGAGCTGGAGCAGGAGGAGGAACTGGAGCAGGAGGAGGAGCTGGAGCAGAAGTGAAGTGCAACTGGCACGAGTTTCTGAGATCAGCACGAAACATGAGATTAGACGAGGGCTTCAAAAACTTAGCAAAAATGACAAAAGGCCTAAGGTGTTGTCTCACGATGTAGACTGAGGACCTGACAGAGGACTGAGGAAATGCCCAGGCTTAAACAAAGAGATGATTAGAGATGAGGGGCAGGTGTGCAAGCCAGGAACAGGGAGCAGGAACAGCCACGCCCACAGCAGCAGGAACAGGAGGGAGGGGGTGAGGAGCTCACAGTGAGCTCAAAACCAAAACAATATCAGATGCTATTGTGGACTATACTCCATATCACAGTTTTGTACACAAACATGTAACATATGTGCCCATTAAATATGATACTGGAGACGTGACTGCATCACGTGCACGAGGCCAATAATGTTGTATTGTGTCAGTGTCACAGGTGGGTTTCTGTGGTTCCTCTGATGCAGGAGGGTCTGCAGAAGGGTCTGAGTGCCAGTTTTAATGATCTGGGACATTTAAGGACATTTATTCACATTTCTGGACAGTGGTCGTCCTGCTCCTTATATGGCTCTGTGTGTTTGTTATTTTTGCATTTCCTGTGTTCGACGTGTATGATTCTACACTCAAAAAATGTATTTGTTAAATGAACGTAATAAAATTATGGACATAATTTCCACCCAAAACAAATGCGTTTCTAGAGCAATAATTAATTGTGTCGACTTGACACCATGTGAAGATGTTGGATTAACATGATGTAATTTGGTTTGTGTAACATCATAACTTTGGTTTGATCCAACTATAACAACTGTACATATTGTGTTTATTAAGAAATAGTTATAACTATTGAGTTAAATCCTCCTCGGCAACTGCTGCTGTGGTTCTGGACGATACACAAATACATTGAAGTGAAACTACATTGAATTCAATTGAATAGATCTTTGTTCTTGTTTTTAGATTTCTTGTTTTCTTATTATTTCTTGAATCAAGAAAGAGGAGCCTAACTAAGTAATTGTTGCTTGTTTTGGATCCAAATATTACTTTTTTAAGCACATTTTTCTTAATAAGAAAAAGCTAGAATTAATTCCTTATTAGAATTTTATTCTCAAGGAAATTTTGCTAGACAAGATATGTTTTCTTTTTATACCAAAAACCATGATTTCTTTTTCTTATTTCAAGATTTTTTTACTTGCTTAGAATTTACTTTTTGCAGTGCAAACACACATCAAATACATCACCAAAACCTCATTCTTCCAACTCTGCAACATTGCCCGCCTCCGCCCCTCCCTTACCCAGTCAACAGCTGAAATCCTCATCCACGCATTCATCACCTCCAGACTCGACTACTGCAATAGCCTCCTCTACGGACTTCCCACCTCTCATCTCCAAAAACTGCAATACATCCAGAACTCTGCAGCCCGCCTCCTCACCCACACCCGGTCCAGAGAACACATCACCCCTGTCCTCCAGCAGCTCCACTGGCTCCCCGTTCAATACCGCATCTGTACGCAACCTCGGCACCATATTGGACTCCACCCTCTCATACCACACTGCAAAAAGTCCCTTGCTAGAAACAAGAAAAAAAAAACCACAAAAGACAACAATTTTGCTTATTTTAATCAAAAAAAAATCTGCCAATGGGGTAAGAAATGTTTCCTTGTCTAGAATTCTTGTTTTAAGATTTTTTTCCTAATGTATAATGGGAAAAAAACAAGAATATATTTCTTGATTTAAGCAATTTTCTTCCAATAAAATGGTCAGATTTAAGCAAAATATTCTTGTTAATAAAATACAAGAATATATTTCCTTATTTAAGCAATTTTCTCCCAATAAAAAGGTCAGATATAAGAAACATTTTCTTATTGGATAAGTTTAGGAAATACCGCATCCAGTACAAGCTCCTTCTCCTCACCTACAAGCCCCTCCATAACCTAGCCCTGCCCTACCTTACTGAGCTCCTAAAACAGCGGGGACCAACCCACCCGCCGTCTTCGCTCAGCCAATTCCATCCTCCTCACTCCCATCACCCGCACTAACCGCAGGACCTTGGGGGACAGAGCCTTTGCCATTGCCGCCCCAACCCTCTGGAACTCACTCCCACTGCCCATTAGAAACTCTGACTCACTACCAAACTTTAAATCACTACTCAAAACCCATCTTTTCAAACAAGCCCTTCCATAAACCCCTTTTTTGTTATTGTTTTTTATTCCCCATGTGAAGCGTCTTTGGGTGTCCAAAAAAGCAGTATACAAGTTTGATTTATTATTATTATTATTATAATCCTATGTTGAGTGTTGATTAGTTTTTAACCAGAGAAAAACTGAAAAACAAAACAAATATATAAATTTAGCGAAGCGCCAAAGTGGATTTGATCTCACAATGCCGCGACTGCTGATCTGTTACTTAAACCCTACACCATACTGTCACACACTGAAATCATCGGTTTGTAATTGCTCCGTCACCAACCCACTGAACATCCGAAGCCCACTTGACTTGCAGATAACGTCTATATTGTGTCAGTTGGTCGAGGTCCCTTTTTTCACGTCTATACGATGTCAATGTAGGTTCCACTTCTGGACGTAAAATAATGACCTCCCACGTTGATATGTGTTCTGATATGTTCTGCTTTATTTACTTAAACAGTCTGCAAATTTTTCAGATATATATATATGTTTATAATTTCCACATCAAAAAGAGTTAGAGACAGAAAGTAAGTAGTTTTCTCACGTAAAAGTGGAATTTGTCAGGTATAATTTGTATATTATCTGTGTTTTGATAACGCATTTTAGATATAGAACCCCATGTGCTCCATTGGGTTGTTGTGAGAGCTAAAACAGTTACAAATGCTAAAAAGTGTTTAAGATAAAGTGAAAAATAAGATATTTTTTTGGTTAAAATGTCTAACAAACTATGTTTGGTGCACACTGGGTTAGTCTCGCAAAGTTTTTCCAATGTGGTTTTACTGCAAATGGCAAAAAAAATCTTGAATCTTGATTCTGGAATCTTGAGAAATGAGTACTGTTTGTATTGAACCAAAAGTGGACCAATATTTGATTAAAGCAATATTACAATATGATATCAAACATTCCAATTTAATATGATCATATATCAATATATATCAGGGCAAAAGCACACGTCAAATGCTGTTGAAAATATTGAATGCAAATGAAATCATCAGGCATATATTTTTTTTACATATTGGGGTGACACCAAGGCCTACTTCAGGCTCTTTTTCTGCAGGCACGTTGATAGCAGCACCCCGCTGAGAGTAAGGGAGACATGGGCACGTTTAACATACCTCTGCAGAATTAAGATTCATGGCAGAAACCAGGCCCCTGTGTGGTCATTAAAGCCTCTTCAGGTAAAAGGTACGTGCACACTAGGGGGCGATCTCACAGACTTGTTACTAACTGGCCTCTGGAGGAATGGAGGATTTGAAAGACTGCATTATTACATTTATCAGTGCTGCGGGCAAGTGGGAATCATATTATAATTTTAATATTCACCCAAAGCCCAGTTTAATGGCTGTGCAAACCAAAAAATATTTCATTATTGTGCAGCGACAGGGCTGGCTCAAGGCCTTATGGATTAAGCAAATGTTTAGGACTACGGCCACTCGAGGAACCACACATCGGAAGTGACAAATGTTAGAATAAGGGTGCGTTCATACTGGTTGGTCTGATTGACTTTAAATCAGGGGTGTCAAATAAGTTCCAGAACGAGCCGGTGTGGCTGCTGGTGTTAGTTACAACCTGAGCAAGAGCACAGCAGACTCCACGCATTTTCTCAAATCTTCAGGTTAAAACTGGACTCACCTTAGGACATGGGTGGAGTGGAGTGTGTGCTCCTGGTTGGGTTGGGATCAAAACCTGGAGCCACACCAGTCTTTGAGGACAGGAATTATGTTTCTAATTACAATGAGACAACGGATTTATTATAAAACCATCAGTTAAGCATAGGTCTTCACCTAAAGTCCAATACAGACACTCCACTGACCGAACTCATTTTGAATAAGACCTGATAGACTGGAACTCCTTCACTTGAGGAAGGAGTTCTGCACTGTAGAGGGTCTTAAAAAATATCTGGATATTAAAACATTCTCCAAACTGTAAACATTTTCTCATTCCCTAGTGTGGAAGAATTATAATGGCTTGCAATTTTTTCCACCTGTCTGGGAGCAAGCAGATGAGACATATTCATGAGCCGCGCACCATCATTAGAACAGCTCTTCAGGTGCTCACCAGGGGGCGCACTCTTAGACTGGGATCAGAGGCCACCAATCATCACAGACGAAGGATTTGGAGAAAATTATTTGGATTTGGAACATTTTCTGCAGTGCTGTGGGGCAGCTCAAAATGACTAGTTACGTGCCCAGAGCTGTAGACTCATTTAAGCAGGCCATATCAGCACAGTCTACAAAAGAACTGTCTCAAATATGTCAGCCCATTAAAACATACCTGACTGTGCCTGCTTTCACTGCATAAATTCACTAAAGTGGCTTGAATATATATAGTATATTATTATTCGTTACATTCATACAGCTCTATGTGAACACAAGGAACTTACAAACTCGCCTATTCTGTTTTAATGTTGTTTTCAAACTTGACGTTATGAACAGAGCCTTACAAACTATAAACAAACTCCTGGGTTAGTTTGGGGATCTATGTAATTGAACACTCTTGAGCTAATTGAAGCCTATAAAAAATCCTTCAAACTATTTTCCCCAGAGAAGTCCAGGAGCCGACAACATGGATTGTAAAAATTGGATAAAGTTTGGATAAAATTTGGAAGGAGGGAAGGAGAGGTCCCTCAGGTCTTTCTTTCCTGCTGCTGTCAGACCGACACATGTCATACGTCGGTGCAATATCTTGAGCAAATGTCAGAATGTACAATATAGAACCACATGTGCCACTGTCACTTTACTGAGTAACTTTGTCCCAGAGCCTCATGCTGCTTATTTTGTTAAAAATGGAGATTGCATACTTTTTTCTTTAATGCTAGAGTTAGAGATTTTAGT